TTTGATTATTAGTTTTACTTCTTGGATATTTTACAAAATATAAATTTGAGAATTTTGAAAATTCTTACAAAGAAAAGTTAGAATTAAAAGGATATTAATTAATATACTGTTATGTTAGTCATTTTTGGGTAGTCCAGTCCTGCTTTAATCCCTTAAATCCGTCTTTGTCTTATTTGGGCCTTTTACAGACTTTTTTATTTTTAACAAAGTGATGTCCTCCAGTAGAGAGTTGCCAAAATTGTATTTTAGCAAGTTGCTGAAATTGTGTAGCGGAAAAATGGCGGATCTGAGAAATTTGATATTTGACAGTATTAAGGGAAAAATAAAATTAAAATTAAAACCAAGTGTGGAAAAGAGGAACTTGGAGAGAAAATTAATTAGCTGAAAGGGTAATTAGTAATAAACGAAAAAAGAGATGAATGCGAAGAAGAAAAAATTTGTTGTATATATAGGTTAAACAAGTGATTGTTCTAATAATTACAGCAATATGGAGAAAATCTGAGAGGATACAAATTGGATCTGTGCATTCAAGTATCCTCCGGGGGAGGCTTTAAGATTTCTCATTATTTTTAGGTTCTCAAAAACGAAAAATGATATCAACTTGAAATTTTTAGCAAAAATCAAGCTCTATAAGGAGATGAAGCCTATTGATTCTGAAAAAAATTTGAATAAAAATTGGAGGTTAAAATGGAATAAAATATTAAAAAAAAATCTAATTCATAAATGAATAATAGTAGACCGGGAGCCGAGAGGGTTTTTGCATGTATCATAGGCCCCACGCCGAGGCTTTCGGGGTTGATAGACAACGTTATTCCATACTTTGAATTCCCGGTATCGCACCCCTAAAGTGTAGCTTTTAGGGGGGTGAATTTTAAAACCTGTAATTAATATCCATGACCCTGGATCATAGGCCCCACTTTGATTCTTGTTGTATGTCATCAAGGAGGTTGCCAAAGTCCGTGATCTCAATATGCCATACTAATATAGCGTCACTTAAGGTCCGCCATACTTTCCGAAACGTGTAATTTTTCCACTGTGGACATGGATCATCGGCTACACGCTGTTGTTTCGTGATCTTTGTTAATAATGAACTGTAGAACAAAGATTTCAAAACTCCATACCTCTGGGGCGTCGCCAAGTGGCCGCCATAATGGGGCAAATATGTAATTTTTTGCAATGAACATGTATAATAGGCCCCACCATGGAAATGTGTCTCCTATGTTAATTTTGATGTCCTGAACAAAGATCTAATAGCACCATACCGATGCGATGTCGCCAACGTCAGATATTGGCTTCCAAAGTTGTTACATTTGTATAGGTTAAGTGTATTAAATGCCCCACTGCCATACCTACATTTTTATGTGTATTTTGAAGAATAAAGCACAAATATATCTATGTCATACCGATGCGATGTCGTTAACGTCAGATATTGGCTTCCAAAGTTGTCACATTTTCATAGGTTAAGTGTAACAAAGGCCCCACTGCCATACTGGCATTTTTATGTGTATTTTTTTGGGCAAAAATCAAGCTCTATAAGAGGCCTATTGAGTGTAAAAAATCTGAAATATCGCGACGAACTGAGAACCTCCTCCTTTTTTGAAGTCGGTTAAAAATAAGAGCCAAGGGGGGTTGTAATAAAAAAATAGAAATCAATCAAGCTCTATAAGGAAATGAACAAATAAATAAAAGTGGGGAGATAAGAGGGGTTGAAAATTTTGATGGCTATAAGTAAACAAAAACCCTAATATCATGGTGAGGAAATGCGTGGTTGCCAAGTTGTAGATGATTGCGGTTTTTGTTTAATTTCATTTAGCTGAAATGAGTTATGCAAAAGATGTTGCCATGGGCACGCTTGTCATGTTACCGAACAACCAAAAACCCAAATCTCGTGGTGGGAAAATACATAGTTGCCAAGTTATAGATAATTTAATGTTCACTTTAGTTTAGCCCAAATTAGTTATGGAGAAACTGTTGCTATGGAAACGCTTGTCACGTTAACGACTAAACAAAATCCCAAATCTCGTAGTGAGGAAATGCGTAGTTGCCAAGTTATAGATCATTTAATGTTCACTTTAGTTTAGCCGAAATCAGTTATGGAAACACTGTTGCCATGGAAACGCTTGTCACCTCAACGACTAAACAAAAACCCAAATCCAGCAGTGAGGAAATAAGTAGTTGCCAAGTTATAGATCACTTAATGTTCACTTTGGTTTAGCCGAAATCAGTTATGGAGAAAATGTTGCTATGGAAACGTTTGTCATGTCAACGACTAAACAAAAACCCAAATCTTGTGGTGATGAAATGCGTAGTTGCCAAGTACTGGTTAATAGGTAGGTGGAACGAATGTAGCGTGATCTTAGGATATAGGTGGAAAAAGGGCGCTCTAGCTTCGCTCGTTTTCCTCTGTAGTGGTTAAGAGGTGTGTAGGAGGAGCGTAGCGTGATCTTATAATACAGGTGGAAAAATGGCGCGCCCGGCCGACGTTTCGAAATTCGCGTGCGTGAATTTCGAAACGTCGGCCGGGTGCGCTCGCTTTGCTCGCTCTTCTCGCTCTTCTCTTGAACTTGTTAAGAGGTGGGTGGGAGGAGCGTAGTGTAATCTTATGAAGACACTGTTTCCATGGAAACGCTTGTCATGCTAACAACTAAACAAATCCCTTAGTGAGAAAATGCTTAGTTGCCAAGTCATAGATGGTTTCATTTTTACTTTAGTTCAAAATTGGGATATATGTTAAGAGTTAAAATAAATATAAGAGGCAACTGCTCATTTTCTCACCACCGGATTTAGGTTTTTGTTCAGTCGACATCACGACAAGTGTTCTTTTGACAACGAGTTCTCCGTAACCGATTTTAGCTAAACTCAAGTGAAAATTAAATGATCTGTAACTTGCCAACTATGCATTTCCTTATTACGGGTTTTGGGTCTTGTTTAGTCGTTACCATGACAAGTACCTCTATGGCAACAGTTTCTCCGTAACTGATTACAGCTAAATTAAATCATTTGTAACTTGGCAACCACGCATTTTCTCACCACAGGATTCGGTTTTTTGTTTAGTCGTTACTATGTCAAGCGTTCCCATGGTAACAGTTTCACCATAACTGATTTCGTCTAAACTAAAATAAACATTAAATGATCTATAACTTGGCAACTATACATTTTCTCACCACAAGATTTGGGTTTTTGTTTACTGGTTACCATGGCAACGGTTGCCATGGCAACACTTTTTACGTAACTGATTTCGGCTAAACGAAATTTGACCCGAAAATTCTAACTCAGAAATAAAAAACTATACCAAGCAAAGTTTACTTTAAACTAGGTATTAAAAACAAGGAATAGGCAGTTTTATTACTGCTGTTAACTAAAAGTAATTTTTGTTCACCCTAAAATTTTACTGGATGTCACTGTCACTTATTTTGAAGTTCCCCCAGATTTGTATTGTTCCGTAAAAAACATTATTGATTTTTTGTATCTATGTATTGTGAATTTTTTAATCTTCATTAAAATCAGTTCCTATGTCAAAAGAACTCTGTGGAAGGCCAGAGAATATGAAAAAAATAAGGGAGGTAAGAAGGTGCTGAGACGAGGCAATTTCAAAACAATTTTACGTTTGCCAATTTTCAGCAAGGATATTAACAATGTCATCGTTCATAAAACAATGTTTTTATTTATTTAAGATTACCTTAAAGCTAAAGGTGATGTTTTCTACAAAGTCTTAAAGAAAAAGATCGTCTGGAAGGCCATTGCGGTCCTTTTGTTCCCGTTGTTGAAAATTTTTTATTTTGATTTCTATTCGAGACATTTATAGAATGAAATATTTTTTCATTCAGTAATATTTGAAGTATCGGAAGTCCATAAGTACTAAATCAGAATAATACAGAGAATGAGAAACGGTTTTTAATTTTATTTGGTCAGTTTGTGGACAGTTAATTAATAGAGAAACAGTTTCATACAAAGAAACAAATTATAGAACAATGATAAAACAAAAATTATTTATTACAAAATAATGTTATAAATTAAGCATCCAAAATGAGTTTAATATTCTGTTTGCTAAAAACGGCTCTGTACATAGCCGTTAATTCTAGCATTCAAGTGAAAATTAATTTCATACCTCATTTTTTTTAATGAAGATCTATTTACATAACGGATATATGTAAATGAAAGTAGGTGAGATAGTTGTGTATGGTACTGGTATACTATGGTACGTGGTATGAGAAAGCCGCGTTGTTATGTTCAAAATTAAATAACTTATTTCGCTAGAACGTGATTCCTCTAAGCAAAATCAAATAACTATTCTTTGCATGAGTTATTTCTATAATAGACGATTTTCAAAATATCTTAAATTAGATTACTTGGAATTTCTATCGAAGGTTCTCTATTAAACTTTGCAGGTACATCGAATTATAATTATAAAGACTATATATATATATAGGTATAATCTAAAATAAATAGAATCTATGTAAGCAATGTTTGAACTATCAAAATATCCAATTACGTCATTGCAGTTACTTTGTTATTCCCCCTAGAGCCATTAGTTGTTATTAGAGAACGTATAGAAATAAAAAAATGTTAAATGGTAATTTTGCTGAATGCAGTTCAAACTAAGGAGAAATATTGTGGATAAATGTTTAACGTAGTAATAAAAAAGATTGGGGCAGATGGAGAAATAAAAATAAAATAAAATAAAATAAAAAAGGCATTTATTTGGAGGTGGACACATGGAACAAATGGAACTTTTCAAGGTAATATAAAACAAATGAAGAGCAAAATAATAATAGAAGATAAAAATTAGAATAGTTGAAGGTATGATGAGACTCGTGATTATCTAAAAACCTTAGATTATACCAGACACTATTATTGAGAAATCTACTAGGACCAGTAGAGATTAGAATAAGTAGAACCAGGAAATCAAAGAAAAAAATGAGAAGGTACACATTTTTATTTTTTTTTTATTTACGAGAGAGATAATCTTGTCACATTATTATTGTGGCGTTTTGACAATTATGATTTTGTTTGGAAAAACTATCTTGTCCAGAAGGGAAAAATGGGGACCTGACAACAGGACTTGTACTGATAGAAACGAATGTAATGAATGGGGCTACTGCGACCAACTTTGTACGAACACAGAAGGAAGCTACACTTGTTCTTGCGCCCACGGGTTTTTCCCGAAAGAGAAAAATAGATGTCTTGCAGAAAACAGCAGTTCTCTACTGTTGTATTTTACTCACGATAAAGCGATTCTTAGTATGACCAACAAAGGAAGCAATTTAAAGGTTATTGTTAACGCTACTGGAACTAATGGATTGGATTTTCATTACACCAAAAATATGCTTTATTGGTCTAATATCAAAACAAAGAAAGCAAGTCATATTTAAAGCTAGCAAAATTTAAAACATTTATAATTTTCCCTTTTTTTCGTTTACAGATTCATGCACAACCAATAGTAAGCATCCCAGGCGTCTCGACACTAGACATTGACCTCTCTTTACCAGACTCAGAATCTTGGTTACCAATATCTATAGCAGTCGACTGGATGATAAACTATACGTTGCTGATTCGGTGGGTCAAAAAGTTGACATTTTCGAACTCCAAGGCAAATGGCACGCTTTTATTTTAGGAAATAATCTAACCAATCCAGCCGACATAGCTTTAGATCCATTAGTTGGTTTAATATTCGTAGCGGACAGTTCGCAAGTTTTAAGAGCTAACATGGATGGTACTAAACCTGTTGCAATAGTTTCCGTAGCAACGTATGCATCTGGCATTTCTTTGGATATCATCGTTAAAAGAGTTTACTGGTGTGATTCCCTGCTAGAGTATATCGAAACAGTTTTTTAAGATTGAAACAACAGGTTTTTAGTAGTAAAAGGACAACAAGTTCCTAGCCCGGCTCGGCTAACTCTATTCGAAAGCAAAGTATATTGGACAGACGATATAAAACAAGGAGTTATATCTGTAGACAAATATGAAACCAGCAGTATTCAATCTATTTACAGTATGCCCGATATTACAAATCCCAATGCCATTAAAGCTATGCATGCCTTGGTACAACCCCATATCGCAAGCCCTTGTGGAAGTAACAACGGAGAATGTCAGCATATGTGCGTCATTACCAAAATGGATCCTCATTTGGGCTTCAGATGTGTCTGCCATATCGGTTTTAAATTAGACGCCGACGAACGAACTTGCAATTTTCTTACCGATTTCTTAATATATTCCCAGCAAACATGTATTAAAGGAAGAGTCTTGGATACGATGATCGAAGGATTTAACGACGCCATACTACCAATCATATCTAGAAAAGCTAGATTCGTCGGTTTAGATTTTGATGCAAAGGACCAGTACATTTACTACTCAGATGTATTGCAAAATGTGATTTACCGCATATACAGAAATGGTACTGATAGAGAAGTAGTATTAGCTTTGCAAAATGAAGGTGTCGAAGGTTTGGCAGTAGATTGGGCGGCTAAAATTTTGTATTACATCGAAAGCAGAAAAGGGACCTTAAATGTAATATCAACTCGTAATATAACTTACAGGAATACTTTGTTGATAGATTTAAAGAGACCGAGAGCTATTGTGGTACATCCTAACAAGGGTTATGTATTCTTTTCCGAATGGGATAGACCAGCTATCATCTCTAGAACGCTTTCCGATGGTACTGATCTACATGTATTCAAAAATTTGACCCTTGGTTGGCCCAACGGCCTTTCAATCGATTTCGCTGCAGATAGACTGTATTGGTGCGACGCCCTCTTTGATCAGGTCCAGCATTCCAAGTTAGATGGTACTGATGTTAAAACTGTTAACTCGAGATTGATCAGACATCCCTTCAGTATAGTCATCTACGATAATTTCATGTACATAACGGATTGGGGAACGGATTGGGGATTGGACACTATCGTAAAATTACACAAACTTACTGGCGCCGACGAAGAAATCATTATAAAAGAACCTCACAGGAACAGGCTATATGGCGTTAAAATTTACAGCGAGCACCAACAACCAATTATAGCGACCCATCCTTGTTGGTATAATAACGGTGGTTGTCAGAAATTGTGTTTTGCAGTTCCAAGGGACGGTATCTACGAGCTGAATGCTAAATGTGAATGTCCGTATGGAGAAAGGTTAACTGATGACCAAAAAACTTGCCAAGCTGATCGTAACCATGAGTCACCAATTCCAGCGAAATATCTTAAATTAGATTATTTAGAATTTGTATTAAAGGTTCTCTAGATTAAATTTTGCAGGTACATCAAATTATAATCAAAAACGATATATGTATGATCTAAAATAAATATGTTTGAACTATTAAAATATCCCATTACATCATTGTAGTTAGTTTCTTATTCCTCCTAGAGTCACTACTTTTTATTAGAGAACACATAGAAATACAAAATGGTAGGTTTGCTGAATGCAGTTAAAACTAAGGAGAGATATTGTGGATAAATGCTTAACGTAGTAATACAAAGGATTGGGGCATTTGGGGGAAAAAAATAAAGTAGGCACTTATTTGATAAGGTGGACAATTTATGGAGACGGATACATTTTCGATAAAAAAAGTATGTAACAATTGTCTGAAGTCATTTGTTTATTACGTTGTGGAAACCCAAACGTCATAAATTGGTTGTAAATTTTATAATTCCCAATAAAGACATCATATTATCATTATCGGTTATAAGCAGGTAGGGTTAGATTTAGTCCAGAACTCTGCGGCCTTTTGGGTCTATTGTATTCCCCTGCTTTCCCTGTATTCAGATACTATCTTTGGAATAGTCCTGTATCGTTGGTTAGTGTTACTAAGCCTACCAAGTATTCCTGGAGCGTTCTTTCCGGTTCTATGCCAAAAAGGTCCAGTCGCCGCCTAGCATGAGCTTTACATTCGAAGATAACATGGTACGAGGTTGTAAAGGGTAACGATTTTTGGAGGAGGTATGGATTATCCGCACAAGAATTATTACGCCTAATAATAAATCAGGTATCAACAAATATTATTGTTTTAATGTATGTATCTTTGAATTTAAAGAAAAAAGAAAAACTAACTGATTAGTTAGTTTGTTTTCAATTGGTGCGCTTTATGCACCCAAAACAGAATTGCTAAAGCAATAAAAAGACAAAACTGACACCTGCCAAATATTTGATGTGAACCAAAACTATTGCCCATATTCAGTCAATATAATTTTTTTACAAATATCTGAATCAGAGATCTTACGTAACCTACGTAACCTAAATTAAAATAATAATACATAGTGTAACCTGCGCCCTGACTCAAGGTGGTGAAGGGCTAAGGTTACACAAGGAGGGGTTAATTTTAACTAGAGATTTGTTCCAACAACTAGTAATTGACAACCTGTCAGGTATTGGTCGGGGATTGGGACTCAGCTCGGAACTCGATTATGTTGGGACAGATTTTTTAAATTCAACAGACGTACTATTACAATAATAAACCATAAAATAAAATAAATGATGATGAACAAAAACTATGAGACAATAGATACAAATAAAATTACAATAACGAAATGTTCAGTTTATTGCGGTTTTGCGCATGTCTTGACAATTCGTTCTTATTCAGACCCAGGAACTGATTTGACGGTACACAAATCGGTTTGTGATTAGTTTTGGTTGTGTTGGAACATATGCTCTAAGGTTAGAACACTATGTTTTGGTACAGTTTTGAGTCTAAGGTTTGTTGGAACACGAATTCTAGACTGCGCAGAATCCCGACAGTACGCAAACTGATTTGGTTTATGTTGGAACAAACCTTAGAGTGGCTGGGTAAAGTTAAAAGAAATAAAACACTTTAATAAAATGTGTTGGTTTAGTCGCTGGTGTCTGGTTATATATTTGACTCTGTATAGTCGACTAATATGCTTAAAAAAAAGTATTCACCAAAGTAATAGTTACGGGGTTAAGAGTATACTTTTGGTTTACAGTAATAATAATTTAGCTTTGTTATTAAGCAGGTGGTGGCACGAGATAAGCTCTGCTAGAATAAATGTTAATGTTTATGCATCTAACAATTTCCTAAACAAGTTTAATATAATATCTCCCAAACAGTATGGTTTTAAAGTAAAAACGTCTACCGAGGATGCTATACTAACATTAGTTTCCCAAATACACAATGCTCTAGAAAAAAACAGACCAAGTCTCTGTATATTTCTTGACCTTAGTAAAGCTTTCGATACAGTCGATCATTGTTTATTACTAGAGTGTTTGGAAAACATAGGTATTAGAGGAATCCCCCTGAACCTACTTAAAAGTTACCTAACTAATAGATATCAGAGTGTTAGAATAAATGGTGAGACTAGCGAACCTGAGCTTATTAAGTATGGAGTGCCTCAAGGGAGTGTCTTAGGTCCAGTCCTCTTTAATATATATATAAATAATCTGTTTTCAATTGATAGTCGAGGTAGAATTTTGGGATTTGCAGACGATACTGCAATTTTTTATGAGGCAAATAATTGGCATGAACTAAAATATATTGCAGAAAGCGACTTTCTGAAAGTGAAGGGATGGCTAGATAACATGTCACTCACTATAAACATGGATAAAACAAAATACATGCCATTTACTTGCAATGCTTGTTGTCTCCCTTTGTACAACCAACTAACCATAGAGACACGTGGACACCACTACGCACTGGAATCTGTTGCTGAAATAAAATACCTTGGTGTATATATAGATAATCATCTGAAATGGGAATACCATATAAATTATACTATTAAAAAATTACAGGGTATTTTATACAAATTTAAATACTTAAAAAAACATCTACCTGTACAAAATCTAATAACATTATATTACGCCTTGGTAGAAAGTCATTTAAGATATGGCATTGTTATTTGGGGAAATGCACTTAGGTGTCACTTGAAAGCATTAGAAACAGTACAAAAAAGGTTTTTAAAAATAATTTTTTCGCGAGATTTTCGTTATCCTAGTAACCTATTGTATTCGGAAGGCAAAATTCTGGACCTTAGGCAACTATACTTTTACTGTTCGGTTCAAAAATACAAGTTCACCACGAAAGAACTTAATCTACCATTCCATTACTATAATACTCGGAACAGAAATCTTCATCATCTTCCTCAGGTTGGTAAATCACTTACTCAACGATCCTTTGCTTACCTTGCACCTAAAATGTACAACCAATTGCCCGAATCCATTAAAAATCTTATTCACAAATCTACATTTAAGATACAAATTAAAAATCTATTGTTTAATACTTCCCGTCAAATAATAAATGATTTAATAGAATCAAAAATACTTACCGTAAAATTGTAAACTTATACTTATAGGCTGTATAAAGATATATGAGTATAATTTTCATGTGATAAAAAATATAGGTAGATGATGTCCGGCTTTGTTAATTTTTCCAATGAAGTCAATAATTTAATTAAATTTTTCCTACACTGCACGTCTGTTATTATTATTGCTATTTAATTGGTTTTACTTTATTATATTCTATTTTAGTGTGTATATGTCTATGCCTATGTATATGTTTTATAATTATTGTACTTATAATCTCCTACTTTTAGAGTGTAAAATATAGTAAATTTTGCTTGATAGTTCTAGTAAAATAAGTTGTGACTATTTTAGTCACAAAATAATTATTTTAATAACTTTTATTTTCTTCTTGAAACAAGTGATTTATCACTTATCAAGTAGCTTATTCATACCAAACTTATTAGTTTTTTATTGTATTTTAATTTTGTTTTAACTGTAATGTATATTTTGGATGAATAAATTATTATTATTATTATTATCTAAGGTTCAACTAAGAACATACGCTTCATGCAAGACTGGTAGCAAGCAGACGAAGCGACTGGGTGTAGGTAGATGCTCTCACAAGTAAAATACGGATTAATCTTACTTGATATACTTATGGTGGTTGTCCAGAGTGGGACACCTTGGTAACCGAAGGGCCAGTGGGTACTTCTGTTAGGGTCTACCGCAGATGTACAGCATGCACCGCAAGCATGGAAATCCAGGCTAATTTGTTCAGGACGATAGTAGAAAGTGACTTGAAGTTAAAGATGTACAGTAGATGGATGAAGTTAACAAAGGGGGAAGTTAAAGGTGAAGTTGAAGCAAAGCATAATTAGAGTAGAAGTAAAGTAGATGGCCTGAAATAAGAGAAGGTTATGAGAGGCAATGGTCATCATGCAGAGTTAGTTACACTTACCGTTGATGAAATGTGGCCAAAAGTAACCGCTATAAGCGATTTTCTTATACACTAAGGTTTCCTAATGCACATTTTTGTTCTTAGGCAAAATCCGAAACAATTTCGTGAGAGCACTTTTCAAGTGTTCCTCAAGAGCTCTAGTAACAAAATGGGCGAAAATGGCTTAATCAAAGTTCTAAGTCCAAAACTTTGTACCTCAAAGATTGGTCTCTTACTATAAGACGTAAAATCCTGCTAATGACTCAAGGATTGAATAATTCACTGGCTAGGTGAAGGTAGAACAGAGACCAAAATTTAGTAGAAGAACCAGTTGGAAAAGGTAAACATAACAAAATGGGGTATATAAAAGAAAAATATATTGTAATTATTATAAAAGCTAGTATTGTGCTAATAATCAATAAAAGGGGTATAATCAAGGAAGTTTTTAGTATTTTCTAGCCGATTTTTAATAGTGAGATTCATTTTTAATACTGAACAAATAGCTGGTCATGATTTCTTTGCTGAACTTATAAAAAAAGCTAAGTGAGTATTTCGATTCAATATTTATTAATATGACTATTAAAACTGATAACTACTACTGTAATGGTATAAAATGATATATTTATATATAAAATACGGCTAATTTATGCCTCTGGAAATCTAAACCGTAACAATAACCCATAATCATACTTACAGTAGGTTTAACTCCTTTCGATGTAAATCACCAAATTAATAATGTATGCATATCTCTGGATTTTGCATTGGTATAGGAAAGCGTCAAAGGATACTTTGCAATGCGATTACATGAAAATAAATATAAAACAATTTTCTTTAAATATTACCTAAACTATGAAAATATAATCAGTTTTCCGAAATTGGCTGTATTGAACAGTCAAAACGTAAACGTTTGCGATAAACCATTTTGTATTTATCATTGTATATAGATTTGCTGTGGTTAGCCGTACACAGTCAGTCCAATACAACCATTTCAATATCAAAAACGTAGAACGATAAAACCATATATTGCGATTGAATGAATAACTGTACTTTGCCAGCGAATGTCGTGAATAATAAA